CCAAGCACCTTCACAAAACCCTAGTCTGATTTAGCAAGTCAGAACAGCTCTGGGTGTAGCAACGGTGCCTGGCTCCCCATAACCTGTGCAAAACCTCCACACAATTTGTAAACACTCGAGAAGTGGTAACAGTGAATCCAACCTCCTCTGAGTTAATCACAGCGGTGCCTGGGGAGCAGCATGGAGGGAGGGGAAGTTTCTGGTCAACCCTTGCAGCTCTCCTGGTGCTCCATGTTGGTGCTATTTTACTCAGTGCAGCTGGCTTGCTCTGAGTTGTTGCATTGATAAATGCACATTGATAAATACACATAATGTGTATGACAAAGTGATCAGCTTGGGAGCAGCACTAACTGATCAGTCTGAATCATAGTCTCAGCTTTTGCTGGTGCTGTCCTAAAGAGGCCATAGGGCTTTGCCACATCCAGGCATTTTAAAAGTACAAAATTATGGGCTTGTTTAAAAGGATCCAGGGCTGGGCTCCAAGGATGGAATGGAAGCCTTGTAACTCCCTGCTGAGGAATCCTTATGACCCTAGCTGGCCACAGCACACTGGGGATTTGGACAGATTTCAAGGCACAAGTGGCCAATCTCTTTGTTGTCAGCCAGAAAATCTCCATCCCCATGCCAGCAGCCAGGGCTGCAACTCCTGTCAATCCCAGCAGGATCAGAAAGCAGCAACCAGCAAACCACTGGTGGGATGACACCTCCCAGAGCCCCTGATGCTGCCAGTCTTGGTGTGGGGTCTTGGCAGGTCCTGAGGACTCCTTCTTCCCAAAATCACCACCCCCAGCAGCTCGGTGTGGCTCCAGGGTGTGCAGAAGTGGGGCTGTGTCCTTGCAGGTGTGTGGGCATAGCTCTGGCCCCACAGCCAGGCCCACCATGCACGTGCCTTGGGCAGCTGATGGGGCCACTTGTGTGGCTGGGCAGTGGCAGAACAATCCCCACTGGGAACAATTGATGTTACCCTGCATGCCAAAGCATTGCCCCTTCCCCTGCCCCTCTGCCCAGACCCTGCCAGTCATGCAGGCAGCACATGAAAGATGCTGGGGCAATGCCTGCCAAGGGTGACAAGGACACAGAGGCAGGGGCACTCCTGTCTCCAGCCAAAGCCCAGAGATACAGCCTGGAGTCACCCAATGATTGCTGAAGGGGACAGTGGAGTGGATGAGCTGGCACTCTGGTCTTCTACAAGTCAAGTCCTCGGGGTGGGATGCTCTCCACTGCAATACCCAGCACAGAGCCAGGCACAGCCCAGCTGGGGCAGGCTGGTGCACACGGAGCATTCCAACCATCCCACAGCAATCACCACCTGCCCCAGGCACTGCCACATGTCACACGATCCCCCACGCAGCTGTGCTGTCAACACCTCCTAAGCCTGGATTTATGGCTGCTGAGACAAAAGCAGCACTACAGGCACTCACCCATCCCTGCTCACCAGCAAAGGAGCTGATGCACCAGGCTGGACACAGCTCCTGTGGAGGAAATCACCATGTGTGATGTTCAGCCCTTCCAACGGGAGAACCACACTTAAAAGGAAAACCCACCCCCATCCATGCCATTCTTGGGGCAGCACAGCCCAGTGGACAAAATGCTGTGTTGGAGGGACTGCACTCAGCTTGCTGCCTTGCCACTGGCTGGCCTAAGTCCTTTTCTCATGCCTCAGTTTCCCCACAAGAACAAAGCCCTTAATCCCTGTACAGTGTGCTCCTGTGGGAGGCAACAGCAGCAGCTGAACCCCCCGGCCTGGTCCCCAGATCAAGCTGCTCCCAGGGAGCTGCCAGCAGGGGGGCAGTTAAAACCCCAGAAGTTTTAAAACTACCAGGCTGCAGTACTCAACAGGGGAGTGCAGGAAAACCTCTTGTGGGCTCTGCCCTGCATCTCACACCTGCCAGAGCTAAAAAGAGCTGTGAAACACATTCTTGTTTCCTGAATCCCCAAAGCAGTCAATAGGGCAGGTAGCTAAAACCAATTTCACTCAGTTCAGCCCTGCACCCCAAGTCCAGAGCATTAAGTCTAAGTCTTAAGGACTTAGGGATGCCCCAGCTCAGCTCCTTTGCAGCCTGGCACACAGCCCAGCTCAGTGCCTCAGTCACCCATCACTGTGTGCAGGAATAAATGATGCACTTACCTTATTGTGCCAACAGCCTGGCCATGCAACCTCTGTGGAGGAAAGGACAGGGAAGGATGCCCCATGCTCAGCAACCAACAGCATTTCAGAACAGCCCTTGAAATCCAGGAGAGCTTAGCAGCAGGAGGCTGAGAGCCCTTACTTAATAAGCTGGCACTTGTACAACAGGAGAGGGCCCCTGCCAAGCTGCTGCCTGTGCCCCAGCACTGCCCACTGCTTGTGGCATTGCTTCAATCTCACCTTTACAGCCCATTTCACCTCCACAGCAGGCAGTGGGGGATCTCACACTACTGCAGCCCAAGGGCAGCTGAAAATCATCAGCAAGGACAGCTGGCTCAGCTCTGAGGCACAAGACTGTCTCCCATGAGGAAGGCCCGTGCCCACTCACAGGGACCCTGGCAAGCCAGCACCAGCTGCAGCAGGAAGGTGCTGTGCTCTCATGCCTGGCTGCTCTGCTTAGATTCCAGCATTAAAAACAACTCTCGCCCTTTGCAACACAAGGTCTTGTTTAGCTGCCTTGGGCAGTGCCTGAGATTGGTTTCAGTGATTGAAATCAACTGCTTTGAGCAGGCCTGGGCAGCCAGAAAGACCAAAGGCATGGGGGAAGTGAAGAGACTCACTGATCTGAAGGGCAGACCAGGAGAGCATCCCCTCACCACTCCAGATCCCAGGCAGAAACCAGGCAGCCTACACCACTGGCTTCCCCTGGGGAGGAAACACTACCTAGCTTCCTTGGCAGCCTGCACTGTGTTTACCAGTACTCAGCAGGCACTAAGGCTTGCAGGTTGGAGGTGGTTCATCTTCCTCCTCCTCTACAACTGCTGAGACTCCCAACCCCCTCATACTTCGACTGCTGCAAGAACAAACATGAGATGAGGAAAATTGGTTTCAGATTTTTATTTCTCTGTACTTTTTAAGCAAGAGTGACTGAAATAGAAACCATCATGAGTCCCATCAGGGGAAATAGTTTGATAAGGACAGGGCAAGCAGCCACCCCTGCCCCATGCCAACCTGTACAAACACCAGCTGCCACTGTTTAGTAACTAGATGGTTTTCAAACAAGTCCATGAACAGTCATAGACTACATAGAACAACATGCCAGTTCACAACAGGAAACAACTTATGTATACTTCTTGATTTCATCATACAGGACTAAGACAAAAGCACCGCCCATTCCTCGGAGTACGTTTGACCATGCACCTTTGAAAAAGGCCTTGGAGCCCTCATCCCGGGCAATCTTCCGCCAGCAGTCAAGAGTGCCAGAGTACATTATGTCAGCTGCAGGAGACAGACAGCTTTAGGAACTGGATGCCCACAACCCCCAACATCCAAGTCAAACAGCCTCATGCATCTACTAGCTTTACAATCTCAAGTGCATCCCATTTCCTGGCTGGCTTTCTCCAGCACTAGCACATCAGAGACTGGCCAGGAGAGATGGTGCTGCTGCTGCTGCATTGTCTCTGGGAGACACTGGAAGGACCAGTTCAAGCAGAAGGCAGCAACTCCTTGCTTTGACAGCAACACTTCCAAACCCAACAGCAACCGCACAGTTGGCCAGGCTGTGCCTGCTACAGAGGCTGTCTTTTCTTGTCCCAGAGACACTGGCTTGAAACATCCAAGTGCAAGTTCTGCTGCTCCTACATACTGACATATACCTGACTTGTGCATGCCACCTTACAGGTGTGCTGCACAGGCCAACCCCACAGTGCCCCTTCTGCAGCCCCTCCTACACCCCTGCTTACAAGAGATGAGGATATCTACACAGGCTGATGAAAGCCAAGCCACTCTGCCTTCACTTCAGCTCCACCACCAGCCATTGATTCAGGGATGCCCAGTAACTCTCACACAGCGAGGAGGGAACTCACCTCCTTTCCGGCCAGACTGCATCATCATGCGCCGACGAACCGTGTCAAAAGGGTAGGACACCAAACCAGCCACAGCAGTGACGCTCTGAGCGATCATCCAGCTGACAACAATGTGGGTGTTCTTTGGGTCTGGAAGCATGCCTGCAGGAGAGAGGCTTTGATGAGAACGGCAGGTAAGCCACCAGCACTATGGAAATGCACTCCAGGCCTGCCGCGGCCCAGCATCTCCGTTTTTGTGCCGTTTGGGTCAACCTACCCTTGGCGGTGTCGTAGATGCCGAAGTAGGCGGCTCTGTAGATGATGATGCCCTGCACAGAGACGCTGAAGCCCTGGTACAGGCCCCGGAGGCCATCTGAGCGGAAGATTTTGACCAGGCAGTCACCGAGCCCACTGAACTCGCGGTCGGCCCCGGCTTTACCCACATCCGCTGCCAGGCGGGTTCGGGCAAAGTCAAGGGGGTACACGAAGCACAGGGAGGTCGCGCCGGCGGCGCCCCCGGATGCCAGGTTCCCGGCGAAGTACCGCCAGAACTGGGTTCGCTTGTCCACGCCGCCCAGGAAGATCTCCTTGTACTTATCCTTGAAAGCGAAGTTGAGGGCCTGGGTGGGGAAGTAGCGGATCACATTGGCCAGGTTGCCGCGCCAAAACGAGAGGATGCCCTGCTCCCGCGGGATGCGCACCACGCAGTCGATGATGCCCTTGTACTGCTTGTCGGCGGAGATCTGCTTGCTGGCGTGCTGCACCTGCAGGGGCCGAGACGCCGCCGTCAGCGCCGCTCCCCGCGAGCCCCCGGCCCTCCGCCGCCGCCCCCCCTCTCCTTGCGGCGACCTTGCGACGGCCCCGGCCGCCGGCGCTCACCTGCAGCAGCAGCTTGACCCTCTCGATGGGCGCGACGGCGGTCTTGGAGATGGCGGCCGCCACCCCGCCGGCAAGGAAATCCTTGGCGAAGGACACGGCCGCATCGGTCATGGCGGGAGCGGCGCGAGCGGGAGGCGATGCCGGGCGAAGGAGGCGGGAGGCGGCGCTGAGGGGGCGCCGCAATGGCCGTTAATATAGGGGCCGGGGCGCGAGCGTGGGCGGGGCGCACGGCCCGCCCGCCCATTGGCTGCCGAGGGGGGCGTGGCCTCCGCAGGGGGGACGGGGCCGCCGTTGGAACTGGTGGGGGGCACATGGCCGCGGTGAGGGACGGGGAGCGCGGCACGGGGAACAGCGGGACAGGACAGCCCGGGATGGGGAACAGCGGGACAGGGCAGCCCGGGATGGGGAACACCGGGACAGGACAGCCCGGGATGGGGAACACCGGGACAGGACAGCCCGGGATGGGGAGAGCGGGACAGGACAGCCCGGGATGGGGAACACCGGGACAGGGCAGCCTGGGATGGGGCACAGAGGGACAGGGACCGCGGAATGGAGGACTGCACCCGCACGGCGGGCAGCACACGTACGCGGCCCGGCCCGGTCACACCGCCCGTCGCTACCCCGGGAGGGCCCGCGGCCCCTCCGCGCCACCCCAGAGCCACGGCGACAGCCGGGCACAGCAGAGCACGCTGCACGGGCGGGCTCGGAGGCTGCCCCGCCACCGTTCAGCCCCGTGTCTCAGCCGCAGCCGAGCCCCGCTCGCAGACCCAGGGGACGCGGTGACCCTGCACAGCAGTGACTGTGCCCGGAGTCCCCGTGCCGCCGCAGCGCCCAGCCCAGCTGCGATGCCCAGCACAGCCCAGCTGCGATGCTCAGATGCCCAGCACAGCCCAGCTGCGATGCCCAGCACAGCCCAGCAGGAACCCACCCCCAGCGCACAGCGGCATCCAAACGTCCCTCCAGCAGAACTTCACCTGTCCAAGAGTTTAGCCTTGCTACTGACTTATTCTTCATGGTCATACGCCATTGTACATGTTAATGATCCACTGATGAAGGGCTTTCTTTCAGGGACATCTGAAATATTTTAGTGCTGCCTTTCGGGGATTTATCATGTGTAATTGTGATTGCAAAGGACAGGCTTGGTTGATAAAAGGATAGTGCTTGATAGGTCATAGGAGTGCACTATGATAAAAGGTGGTAGTAGCACATCAGAAACAAGTTAAGAGAGCATTTTGACTCACTTGACTCTTACAAGGTTTGAACAGTTGATCAGACATTCATAGGTACCCATTCAATATTTAAAATCTATTTAGAAATACAGTATTAGTAAAAAACATACAGGTATGCTTGGACAAGGCAAGAAATCCTTTCCTCCCCAACATGCTTACAATTCACATCTCCACATCCATACATGCCCAGTAAGTCTCAGTATTATTACCTGTACTGTGCCCATGGGAAAACAGAGGCACAGAGAAAGAAACATGATCACTAGGCAGGTTGGTTAGAGTCAAAAGCACTTACAGCCTCAGTGTGATGCCTGAGCACCAGATCTGCTCTCTACCATCTTTAATTTTTTGCTTTCTATGCCTGCATTTCTTTGCTGAGAAAAAAAGTCAGTATGAAGCACCACTGCAGCAGAACAGAGCAAGTCCATTAAGAGAAATACTGCAAGACTTCAGCTGTAAGATACATCAACAATTAGTTCTAGGTGCAAGGCAGTTATCCCAAATCTTTCTGCAAGTTTCTCTCCTCAGTTACAGACTGTTCCTGCATGGATTTGCCAATGCCTCATCCTGCTGTGACATGTTCTAACCAAGCAGTTTCTGAGATTTACTTATTTTCACCCATCAGGGGTTATAAACAGCGCAAGAACACAGCTGAGGAGCTGTGTAGAGCAGCAAATGCTGTGCCAAGCCCAGGCTGCTGCAGCTCAGGCTGGAGCCAGTGCACACACCTCTGTGAGCTGCTGTGACTCCCACGCTGCCAGGGGCACTGCCAGCTTCCCACATGGACATGGCCTTTGGGTTTTCTATCAGAAGGCACTGGGGTGGGGCTGTTCCATAGCTGAACTTCTGCAAAGGAACTGGAGCAACACCACAGTTCCTCAGGTGTAACACGAGATGATTTTTGTTGTCCAAAAGCTGCCAAGAGGCCCATCTGTGGCAGTGGCAGTAACCTGGTGCTCTTGCAGAGGGTCCTTCCTACAGGACCTGTCTGCAGCCCCTGGAGCACACAGATACAGAGGGTCAGTCACAGGTGGGGTGCATGGTGCTATTCTCTCTGCAAGTTCAGAGCAGCATAGTAGCCTTAGGTCTGTGCACTGGAACTAAAAAGTGGTCTAATAAAAAAATAGAGCTTTAAAAGTACCTAAACAACATGACAGACTTTGTGGCTCTGAAATATCTAACACATTTAAGAACTGCATTTTCCAGGAAACATTTCAGTTAGAGTACTTCAGGAAAATTGTTTTTCAGAGTGTGAAGTAACTCACATACATGCAGTAACAATGCACGAGAAAGGGAGGAATATTTTTGAGTATGCACTTAAGTTTGCAAGATTGTCATTCCAGTGTATTACAGTCCATTTTGCACATTACAGTTCTGTCTTATTAAAAGCACAGTTGCAGCAGCATACATTCATCTTTGTGCTGGAGATTCAGACAAAAATATTATTCTCAAGTACATCTCAAAAACTAAGCAGTGGATTTGGGAGTGTGACTGAACTAAGACTAATTCTGACTCTGTAGAATGCTACATCCACACAGTATCACTAAAAACCTGGAGATTTCAGTAGAAATTCTTGCATGTTGCATGTATTTTATTCTGTCTTATTATTTCTGGCTGACTTGGTATCTCAGATTGCTTTAAGAAAAACCATTTTCTTAATGCTTTTGGAGACAATCTATACTCTCATCTCTATTCTCTTGCCTTTCTGCACCTGGTTTAATCTCATATGGCTATTCAGTTTTAAAAAGCACCTAAAATAATGCCATTTCAAGTTCAGTAGTATAGAGTTTTCAAACTAGTTGCATCTTTCCTCCTCAGTATGTGCTTGCCAGACATATACTTAATACCCACTCAGCAAATACAATACAGATTTATTCTTTCCTGTCACAGGTGTCTCACTACAAGAACCACGCAGTCCACTGAAATGTCAGTACCTGTAGCTCAGCATGTCTTTCTTGCAAAGGTATTTGTGTATCTGCAGTGGACACTGATGTCAGTTTTCAAGTGCTGATTTCCTGGGCTCAAGGCTTTCCCTTCGGAGGAGCTTTAATTCTCTCAGTTCTTGTGGGTGTAAGCTCTGGTCAACCCCAGGTGTTAGCTTGTAATTTAAAGGAGATTCAATATAACCATTTCTGTAGAGACAAACCCGCTTGCAGAATTCAAAGGTGCTAAACATAACACCGAAGTATGGCACAATCTGATAAAAAAGCAATATAAGAAAAAAAAAAATTAAACTCACTAGCAGCATCCATAGCTTAGATGTTTTAAAAAGAGGGAACTTCTAGGACTTCAGATCTGATCTAATAATAGACCTTGTCCTCATTTATATGAAATCAGAGTCTCATCTCAAGCTATGCTGGCAGCTGCAGTGTGCCAAAAGTAGGAGTTTATTGTTGTTACATAACTAATTATAGCAATATTGTGAGGAAGAAAATCTGTGCTACCCAATAGATTACCAGAACTTGTCAAATACCCAAGCACATCCTAAGCAATCCCAGCAAATCCTGGCAGGAAATGTGGAATTTATTCTACATACACTGGAGTGACTCCACAATTTTCTTCTTTGGCCCCACGCAGAACCAGCAGCTCCAGGGCCCCTGGCTTTGTATCAGCCACGGTAAGGCAGTCACAATCAATCCTACTGTCACTCAATTAGCACTCATTAGCTGACCTGTAGTACTCTATGTAGGTAATCCTCATCACAGCACTATAAAACGTATTTATGTAAATTAAATTACCTTCTGTTTAACCTACCATGCTTTATTTCATGCTTTCAACTCAGCAAAGGCTGCAGTAACTGATCCACATGCATTAAATAGCTGGCTGAAAGCACTGCTTTGGACTTCTGGGCAAGTGGCTTATACAAGCAGGCTTTTTTTACAGCTCACTGCAACATGTCAAATGACTGAAGCTCAGCTCAGAAGGAGAACTTGTTTAGCTGTCCTAAGTGGATTGCTTGCAATCCCCCATCCACTCCACACCTTGTGTGTTAGGAGATGTTGCAATGAACTTTCAAGTGGTGACATCTAGAAGCCAAGCTTGGATTTGGGGAAATGCAACCAAACCAAGTTCCAAGGCTGGTTTATAACGTGTCTGTCTTGTCACTGATTCTGTCATCTAGGAGCTACTAAGTACAAAGGTATGTCATAAGCTTTCTATCCCAGCTGCCCAAAACTGGCTTGACTCCTTCAGGACAGTATTGGACTGGGGTGAAAGCAAAACCTCACCTTGAGCAGACTGGGTGTGAGGCCACTCCACAGTCCAAGCACACCTTTGTTCTTCACAGTTTGCCGGAAGCAGTCAGCCATGCCAGTAAAATGGACATCAACTCCTCCATAGTGGGGAAGCCAAGGACTCTGGGCCTGTCAAGAGACACCCACAGGGATTCAGAACAAGCAGAGAAAAACAAAGTAATTAATTATTTTCTCCATCCTTGTATATAAGGAACAGTCAACACCAGGTTTCAACAGACAGATCTGGATTCCTCCCAGAATGATCTAATTTGCATTAAAATAGAAATTAAAAAGGGAAAGAACTCACTCTTTGATAGGTATGAAAGTGAACAGCAATTTCACACAGTGCCCCCTTTTGTACCATGTCACTACTAGAAATAAATCCCACCCTTTTGAGGACAAACCATCTGAACCAGAGCTACTTATCCCATGAGCCCCATGCCAGCTGCTCAGGTCCAGGCAGAGATATTTCACACTCCTGGCAGTGGAACACAATGAGAGGGAAGGTTGGAGCCACACTGCCTTCCTGTAGCTCTGCTCAAACCACCTGGCTTGTCTCTGGCTGCTGAGGCTGTGTCTCACTGCTGTGACCAACATGAGCTGTACCACAGGCTGAGGAGCAGCAGCCCAGCAGAAATGGAAGGATGGAGATTTCAGCCAGGCTGTTTGGTTCCACCAAGGGCTGCAGGTGAGCAGTTGGTGCCCATGCTCCCACATCAATGTGTTCACATGATAAGGACCAGCTGAAGTTAGCTGGGGAGAATCCTGCTGGCTGGCAGCTGAACTTCCAACTGCAGTGCAGTGTCTGTTCACATGGAGGAAGTGTAGTTGGTCATTTTTAACAGCTAAATCCTTTCTTCATTAATCTCCTACTGCGTTAGCACAGACAGGATAACCTGACCTTCAATAATCCCATCCTCATCCATCTGTGCACATGCAGCCATGGATTTATTTTGCATTGACAAATCAGGGTTTCACTCAAACACATGGCAGGTGACACTTTGGTGTCAGGGGCCCAGGACACAGATTGATGCCTTGCAAACTGATCATCCTAAGGTAGAAGTTGGATAAAAATGGGGCTTGTACAGTAAATTGATGGATGAATATGTGTATCATGATCCACACATTGATCTGAAGCACCACACTGTGCAGTGATTTTTCACTCCTTCTCTAGACTAGCCTGTAGCTTCTCAGAGCTGCTAAGCCTATGACAAGCCTCATCAACTGACAAGTGGTGATGAGTTTTTCTAGGTGCCTTAGCTATAGCATTTCAAGTACTTGGCAACTGAGATGCTGCAAAGGCAAACAGATCAAAACTCACACTCTACGTATATAAGAGAAATTGCTAATCAAATTGTTATGGGCAAGTCTACTGTTAAAATTTAAAGGCTGAAAAAAAATCCCTGATAATCCCCCACACTAAGGGCATGTCTTCTTTCTAAAAAAAACCCACAGATCATAATTTTTTTCTCATTTTTTTTCTGCCTGATTGAAATGAATGTGAAATACCTCTTATGGCAGGTAACAGGTA